GATCATACGTTCTCTAGATGTATTCCTATCTTTGGCAAGTAAGATGACGAACAATTATTCCATGCTGCATCTATCTAATACTATATCCTAAGATCATATATAAATAATATAATACATCCCTACCTGTACACTGGCTAACAATTCAGTGTAGCTAGAGATCGTCGAATATAAACAAGACTAGAAGCAGTGGTAGGCAAGAGGAAAAACTGCCCCGTGCTTACGTTCCTTGCTAACATGAGTCAACAAAGATTTTTGCTGGTAGGGGAGATCAATCGGAAGTAGAAGATAGAGTTGGCAGTCACGGGATAGATGAACTCCATCTTATTTATAGGGCCTCGATCGGAACATGTGCAGGCCGGCCTTCCACTTCCGAGGCCCATTATTGATGGCTAGCGACAGGGGTGGTTTTGTTGAGGGCAACTAGTTAAAGGGTGCCCCCGCAGCGGCACTTTTTGAGGGGGCGAGGCTTATGGTGGGCTCACTCGTGCTAGAGATCGTATATAAAAAATATAGTACACCCTACCTGTACACCGGCTAACAATTCACTCTAGCTAGAGATCGCCAAATATGAATATGAACAAGACTAGTAGCAGAGGTAGGCAAGAGGAAAAAACTGCCCTGTACTTACGTTCCTTGCTAGGATGAGTCAACAAAGATTCTTGCTGGTAGGGAAGATCGATCGGAAATAAAAGAAGAGTTAGGATTGGAGGCCAGGGATAGATGGACTCCATCTTATTTATAGGGCCTCGATTGAAACGTGTCTAAGCCGGCCTTCCAACATTATGAATGGCGAGCGACAGGGGTGGTTTTGTTGAGGGCGACTAGTTAAAGGGTGCCCCCGCAGCGGCACTTTTGGGGGGCTCACTCATGCCGTCTCATCAGGGGGAACTAGATCTTATCTCACACTTTAGTTTCCCATTTGAGAGCCCCACAAAGGAAAGGCAGCTTGACATGCTTTAGCGATTTTTCTGATTTTTTTTCCGCAGTTCTTTTTTTTGCAGTCGGTTTTTTCCTCAGGTCTGGCGAGGTCATGAAAATACAGTACATGGTCCACTAAGTTCTGTACACTGAAGAGATAAGGTGAGTATGTACTTCTCAATTAACATTATCTACTGGTATAGAACTTACAACAGGCCAATATCAAATCAGATAACCAGGCACTGACGCTACAGATGCAGCCAATCGATCTTAATAACAACAAAAAGAATATGCAGATTCAGTACCCCCTCAATGTAAAGTAGACAGCAGATCGATGCTTTTGTCCAGCTAGTTTTTATTTACACAAAAAGCTCAACGACTAGCTTCCAACAGGTCGGTTGCTCTGTCTCCACTGTGTGGCCGCCACCCACTCTGTCCCCCACCTCAACCCCTCTCTCACCCGCAAGAAAAATGGTGAAGAGCAGTAACATTTGTGGTTACATCCATATGGGATAAGCAATGATCCACTTGGATCTACTCCTACCTTACAATGAGAGTGAGCTCTAGCTATAAGATCCCCGAATATGAACCATTGGTGAAACAGCTCCGTGCCTTGAAAGAAGCTTCTTGCTAGGATCGACCAGTGGCAGTGGGCGTTCCTGCTGCCGCCGGCCGGAAGGAAGGATCGGAAATGGAAGGACGGTTAGGGTTGGGGATTCGCCGGCATTTTATAGCTAGGGTCGGTCGCACGAGCAGAGCAGAGCAGGCCGCTCCCGAGGCCCAGGGCGAGCCGGCAATGTGGGCCTGTCCCCCTCGCATAGATAGGAACCAAAGGCCGATTGATTACTGTCACGATTAGCTCAATCATCATCGTCAATGAAGATTAGGCCGCTGATCATCTGCTCCTGTCTGCAATTGTAATCTACGCGAGAGATTCAGGGCGCGCGACAAACCAGAGGGGTTCCGAGCCACCGGCGCTCGGCGTGTCGACCGGCAACGCTCCCGGTGGAGGCGGCGAAGAACGGCGAGCTCCCCGGCATCTCCTCAGGCGGCGCGGCGGCGGCTTGACGATGATCAGCTGTCATTACGATAACCCTAGGCCGTCTACCGTTTATCGTATCGGGGGAAACAGGCAGGCCCAAAGCCACGTTAGCCTGCTCGCCCGAACAAGGCAGTGGGCCGAAAATACAGTAGTACTTTGTGTAAAAAAAGAAGGCCTAGTACAGTAGTACTTTCTTTCACGAAGATTTAATAAAAGCTTCGTGATGTTGCCTTAAAAAAAACTAATCAATAGAAAATTGCCCCAAAAAAACTGATTAATGAAAATGGTGACATGTTCCATGTGTTTGCTCTTTACCAGATACCTGTACAGAGTTTAGGAAAAATAATCTTGGTATTGGAAATATATGAATCACGACTACGATAGAATCAATCTTTAATGATCTGTCAGACTCGTTCAACACCTCATGTTTATAGGAGGTGAGCTGGAGCACCACAAAGCTCTCCCATGGCCGGCCAAAAAACAGAGCAGTGCACTGTTTTGCTCGTGGGCAGGGGGTATAAAGGACCTCATTTGGTCCCGGTTCCAGCCACAAACCGGGACCAATGTTTATGGGCCAGGAGCGAGTCCCATTGGTCCCGGTTCGTGTCTGGAGCCAGGACCAAAGGGGTCAGACGAACCAGGACCAATGGCCCATGAGGCCTGGCCGGCGCCCTGGCCTCACGAACCGGGACCGATGCCACATGGGTCCCGGTTCATGAGTGAACCAGGATTAATGGGCTTTTCAGGCCTGGACCAAAACCCTGTTTTCTACTGATGGGTGAAAGTCAAGCCATCATGTGTGTCAAGCGCTTCACAGTTGGAATTGTGCAAGTGTTTGGTCTGGAATATTTGGGAGCTCCCAATGCTAAAGGCACCGCAAGGCTTTTGGAGATGAACAAAAGCTCGCGGGTTTCCAGGTATGCTTGGCTCAATAGATTGCATGCATTGGAGTTGGAAGAACTGTCCTAAGGTGTGTCATGGACAATTCCACGGCCAAGAAAAGAGTTCCACTATAATCCTTGAAGCGGTGGCCGATTATGAGACTTGGGTTTGGCATGCTTTTTTCGTAATGCCTGGATCTTGCAATGACATCAATGTTCTTCAACGGTCACCACTCATGAATAGGATTGCAAATGGTGAAACTCCACCAGTGGAGTTTGTAACAAATGACCATACATACAACTGTGGCTACTATCTTACGGATGGCATCTACCCAAGATGACAAACATTTGTGAAGCCCTTGACAGCACCGCAAGGTAAGAAAAATCTTGATTTCCACAATGCTCAGGCGGCGGCTAGGAAAGATGTGGAGAGAGCTTTTGGGATTTTACAAGCCCAATTTACTATTGTGAGAGGACCAGCTAGATTTTGGGATCAAAAAATCCTTTGATACATCATGACCGCTTGTGTGATCATGCATATGATCATCAAGAATGAGCGTGGGCAAGATTTGGACTATTCTCAGTATGAGTTGATGGGACATCCCATACAAGTGCGCAGGATGGCTGCCAGGGTGGCCCGCTTTGTTGCCTCCTATCATGCCATTCGACGTGCCGAAATACATGATGACCTTCAAAAGGATCTAATCAAGGAGCGGTGGTCATGGAATGGGTGACAAAACAACTTTGATGTTGTATGTTTGTTGTATTGTTCATGAACTATTTGTTGTATTAAAGATAAACTATTTGTTTGAGTTGTAATAATAATTGAACTATTTATTATTGATTTATTTTATGTGTGTTTGATCTTCTTTGTTCTATATTGAATGGGAAATGTTGTTTGTGCTGGACGCGCACGCTGTAATTTAGCGCGCGTGCTAGAGCGCTATCTGCGGCGTGAATTATATAGCGCTTCTGGTAAAGCAAAACACCAGGCCAACGCGCTAAAATGTTGTTTCGGCGCTGTAAAAAAAATTAGCGCCAAGGTCACCAGTGGGTATAGCCCTACCTTCATGCACACTAGTGATTGGGGCGCCACTCTGTGACGCCACTTGAAAGGAAGTTATGCACACGTTTCCATTTTTAAAAAATACATAAAGTCCTCGCCTTCGTCTAAAAAAACATCTCAAGAAAAATCCTCATCATCTGAAAAAGAGGTAAAAAAGAAAAATTACCACACCAGCCTACCAGCGAGTGCCACTTTGTATAACCCTCCATTTAAAAAGTACTAGAGGTCCTCATCTCCATCTAAAAATATATATTTAAAAAATAATCCACGCCTTCATCTAAAAGAAATTGCAAAAGATTTCTCACCACGGCCAACTAGCTTGCGTCATGTGGCATAGCTAGTTGGCCGCCCTTCACGTGTAGTTTAATGATTTTAATATTTTGCCTTTCAGCCATAGCTGCTAAAGTTTCTCACCCGCAATTTCTTCTCTTTTTTTTTTGAAAAGGAGGATTTCCCCCCAAAAAAAAAGTATCGGGTGGTTTGCTACTTTGCTCCCTGGCTTGCATGTACACTGACGATGCACATAGATTTGGCATATACATGTGTTTCCTCAGGCGCCCCCCTCTATCCGCGATACTAAATTCGAAAGGTCATATGGACTCATATATGAATTTTCAATTTGCATGTAATTAATTTGATTTCAATAGATGAACTCTCTAATAAATCATACAGAAATGAAACTATAACTTTAACCAAAAGCCGGCATTCTTTTACGAATTACCTAAAGGAACACTATTTATACTGCATTTATCATCATCACAGGCAAATGCCTTGTCTATCTATACAGAACAAGTTGTAGCACTTGGCCACACGAGCGCGTGAGCAAAGGTAATGTCGTTCACTACGGGTACTTTGTAGTGTGTCTGCTGCTTGCAAAGGCTGCAAGAGGTGACGCATTCATACAAATGATAAGTAGTTTTGCTGATAAAACACCACATCACTACTACTGTAGAAGGGAACCAGAAAGACCTGACATACTGAGTGATAGTGGTGCATACTGATAAATCACCACTAATGGAATATGGAAGGAGAGAAACAAGACTATAGTGCAGCAAAATAAAACTGGTCGTTCCAGAATAGCCATGCATCTCGATCAACAACCACAAAGGCAGAGCAGATGATGAAGGGTATCCTCCTTCTGAATCTTGTACTCCGCCAGGGTGCGCTTGTCGTCCAGCTCTTTGCCGGCGAAGATGAGGCGTGTTTGTATCGGAGGAATACCTTCCTTCTGGTACATCTTCACCTTGACACTCTCGACAGTGTCTGAGCTCTCAACCTCGAAAGTGAGGGTCTTCCCTATCAACATCTTCACGAAGATGATCATCCCACCTCTGGGGCGTGGGTGGAGGACGAGAAGGATCGTGGAATCCTTGTGTATATTGTGCTCGGCCAACGTGCGCTCATCGTCCTCGAGCTGCTTGCCTTTAAAGATGAGGCACTGCAGGTTTGTGGGGAAGCCCTCCATGTAGTGGATCTTTGTCTTGACGGTGCCTATGGTGTCGAGGCTGTCGACCTCGAGAGGGATGGTCCTACCCGTCTGTGTCTCCCTCACAAAGATCTGCATCTTCTCCTGGAGGTCTATCCTGGATTCATGCTTGATGTCATAATCGGCCAGCGTGAGGTTGTCCTGTAGCTTCTCCCCGTTGAATACGAGGCTGTACTGCTCTTGGATCTTGGCCTTGACGCTGTACAAGGTGTCCGATGCATGGACCTTGAGGCAGATCGTCCTGCCAGTCGGGTTCTTAACATAGATGTGCATCCTGAATGAATGACCAAACCAAACATACATGACCAAACTTTAGACAATTTATTTAGACAGGTTATGGAAGAACGGCAATGCGCAAAAACATATCAACAGTTAATTCCGACATGTATTAGTAGCAACTAAGAGGCCATTTTCTAAAAAGAGTAGAAGCAAGAATAGAAAACTTACTGCATAAGTATGTAGAGAATAAGGTGTCACGCTAATTAAGCATAGTTTTCTGAAAAGCATAGTATGCAAAGGCTTTTTTGATGTGCTAGCTAGCCAGCAGAGTCAAGTCTTCCGAAATCATTAAAATTGTATATGTGAATTATTGTTCATTCAGTTTATGTATACTGAGGAGTCAGTTAAATGACTAACACTTTCCGGAACAGAACTGACATCAGACCAACAAGATTAAGATTAATTACAAACAGAAGCTAGCTACAGTGGATCAATCTTAATGGAAGAAGAAAGAATTAGAATATATGATTTCCGGCCCCTAGTAACTCAAATTAACAACAGATGCATGCTTCTGTACAGCTTTTATTTAGACAAACAAGAAAAACGATGTCAACACTTCATCGGAAAGTAGGAGCAAGATGAGTAATCTAGTGACAGCAGTTAGGGTTTGGACGACTATCTCTGTCATCTATCTACACAAAAACTAAAATTCAAAAAAAGAAGAGCTTTCTTGTATATCTAGCGTACGTACGTTCTCTAGATGAAGAGTTTCTTCGGCAAGAAGAGAAAAATGATGAACAGATCAGTATAGTAGTACGTAGAGATAGGCAAAGAAAGAGGACCTGCTTGATCAATCAATCAGAGGGCGTTGTGTGTTCTTGCTTCCGCCGGCGCCGGAGAGGAGAGCCCCTGCCCAATGCGCAGGGAGGGAGTGAGAGAGGGAGATCGGAAATAAAGATGGGTTAGGGTTTAGGCTGGCAGGATTTTATCCAGGACCCGGATAACAACCGAATGCCAGATTTCTGGGGAACCCAGAATGGTACGCACGCACGAGACCCCCTCTCAGCGCGAACGTTTTTTTTTTGAGGGAACTAAAATCTTTAATGATCAACTTTTTTTAGGTGAACTAGGGACTTTATTAGAACTCAATGACGTTTGGAATACAAATAATGTCTGGTAAGCACCCTAGCCACATGTGGCGACCTACTGGCAGTGATACAGCTGCCTTAACTAAATCATGAGCTTCGAAATTACATTCTCTATACTCAAACTTGAAACAAACATCCCTGAAGTCGCTGCTCCGATGCTTAATTTCACTGATCACCGTTGCGTAAACAGTGGCTGCTCCCTTGTTGATACTCGTCACCACCTTAAGATAATCTGAAGCAATAACCAGGCTTTGGATGTGTAGGTCTTTAGCTAACGCCAAGGATTCATTAACCGCATGTGCCTCCAATGATGCAGTATCCACAAGACCATCATAGACTGTAACAGAAGCACCAAGATACCGTCCGGTATGATCTCTGCATACAACCCCCGCTGCACCTCGATCACCTTGGCGGGACAGGCCGCCATCCGTATTTAACTTCACAGCTGTACCTGCTGGTGGAATCCACCACCGTGTACGCCGTGCCGGTTATGCTGTCGGTTCATGCGGATGTCTAGCAGAAGCAATTTTCAGGTCTTGAAGATACCTATTGATGAAACACCACGTAGAAATCGGGCTTTGGAACTCATTGTCATGTATGGCCCTCCGTCGAGCCCACCAAATTGCCCACAAGGTCACCAAAACCCGTGCAAGATCCTGCTGTGTTGTTGACTCGAATAACCAGAAAAGCCATAACCGAGCATCGTCGGTGTTGTTTGATATTACATGCTCCAGGAGCTCCTCATCTCCTAACGCCCATGTACACCTTGCCATGCGGCAGTTGATTAGAGAGTGACGCCATGTATCGTCCGACGCCCCGCAAACTGAGCATGCATCAGTAGTGGACATATTCCTTGAGCATCGAACGGATCCAGTAGGGAGTGAAGTATGAGCTAGCCTCCAAACAAAGACTCGAACCTTTGACGGAATTTTTACTTTCCACAGCTCAGTCCATGACTTCTTTTCAGCTGCTATGTTGGAGTGGCCGGAACGGCGCTCAAGCCAGTCTTCACGCTGTGTCTTTACTGCAGTGATCATCCTATACGCTGACCTGACCGAGAATACTCCCCGCTTATCATACGAGGCTGTACTGCTCTTGGATCTTGGCCTTGACGCTGTACAAGGTGTCCGATGCATGGACCTTGAGGCAGATCGTCCTGCCAGTCGGGTTCTTAACATAGATGTGCATCCTGAATGAATGACCAAACCGAACATCCATGACCAAACTTTAGACAATTTATTTAGACAGGTTATGGAAGAACGGCAATGCGCAAAAACATATCAACAGTTAATTCCGACATGTATTAGTAGCAACTAATTAAGAGGCCATTTTCTAAAAAGAGTAGAACCAAGAAGAGAAAATTTACTGCATAAGTACGTAGAGAATAAGGTGTCACGCTAACTAAGCATAGTTTTCTGAAAAGCATAGTATGCAAAGGCTTTTTTGATGTGCTAGCTAGCCAGCAGAGTCAAGTCTTCGGCAATCATTAAAAGTGTATATGTGCATTATTGTTCATTCAGTTTATGTATACTGATGAGTCAGTTAAATGACTAACACTTTCCGGAACAGAACTGACATCAGACCAACAAGATTAAGATTAATTACAAACAGAAGCTAGCTACAGTGGATCAATCTTAATAATGGAAGAAAAAAGAATTAGAATATATGATTTCCGGCCTAGTAACTCTAATTAACAACACATGCATGCTTCTGTACAGCTTTTATTTAGACAAACAAGAAAAACGATGTCAACACTTCATACGGAAAGTAGGAGCAAGATGAGTAATCTAGTGACAACAGTTAGGGTTTGGACGACTATCTCTGTTCTCTATCTACACAAAAACTAAAATTCAAAAAAAAAAAGAGCTTTCTTATATATCTAGCGTACGTACGTTCTCTAGATGAAGAGTTTCTTCGGCAAGAAGAGAAAAATGAGGAACAGATCAGTATAGTAGTACGTAGAGATAGGCAAAGAAAGAGGACCTGCTTGATCAATCAATCAGAGGGCGTTGTGTGTTCTTGCTTCCGCCGGCGCCGGAGAGGAGAGCCCCTGCCCAATGCACAGGGAGGGAGGGAGGGAGGGAGGTCGGAAATGAAGATGGGTTAGGGTTTAGGCCATGGTATGGCAGGATTTTATCCAGGACCCGGATAACAACCGAATGCCAGATTTCTGGGGAACCCAGCACCAACGAATGGTACGCACGCACGATGAGGAGGGTGGAGGCCTGCCAGATGTTCGTTGCGGTCAAGGCCCCCGCGCGAACCCAAAAGTGTACAGGCCCTTTGGTAGCCTCTTGGCCCAATTACCATTGTCTGTGCACAATGTTTTTTTTAGAAAAATGTAAAAGCAGATTTCCATGATGTAGATAAAAATAGATATTATAAATAAAGGTAAAGTTCTTCCGTAGCTCGTCCTACACGGTATCCTTTATCTATGCCGTTCGTCGCGCTATTGAGATGTGTGCAAAAGAGGATCATCATCAGAACATTGCAGTGTCATACGCAGCTCACTGGTCACATGCAGGATGCAGCTCATTATTCACTGTTCACCTTTTCACCCATCACATGCAAACTCAGTGCCTCGTCTCTCTCTTCCTCCACAGCGCAGCGAACTACAATCAACAATTAGAGAGAATATAAGAAGAGGAGAGAGAGTATGCAGGATGCAATAGTTTGAAAAAATTGGCGCAAAAGTCAAACCAAGTGAGTCAGAGTTGCCACGTGCAAAGGCTTTTCTGGAAAAAATTTAGTCTTTTTCATAAATAAACTGCATGCACATTCAGAGACGAGGCACTGTTCTAGCGTACTTTCTCTCATGTTCTTTTCGCATGTGATGGGTGATAGGTGAGGGAAAAAAGAAAGAGCAAACAAAGTTTATGAGAATGGAAGAGAACGTGGCTACAGTAGCACTGCAGCATGATCTGCCATGGATGCCAGACTTTTGCAGGTCGCATATGAGTGTATGAAGCTTAAGATTCCCCTGACACGGCTGCACATTTTCAAAGCTTGCATATATCCTCATGCATCTTCCCACAGTCTGAATGGTGAAGATAGTGGGTACCAGGGAGCTCGGGCTATAGAAAAACACACTCATAAATAACTTGTCTAAACGGAATCCGAGGGGAATGAGCTGGCTATCGTTCTAATTGGAAATACAAATATGAGTCCACCTCTCAAGAGAGACCCAAAAAGGTCTAGGACAGGCACGGACGGCAAGGATGGCAACAACCCTTCTGCAAGGACGTGCACGAACGGCAAGATCGGCCAATCGGTTGGAGCTGTCATCACTATAAATAGGTGGGCAAGGGCGGGCGAACCACAACACCACAAAGAGTTAGAAATTTGCTTTGTGCATTCGAAGGATCAAGTTGCTGATGGCTTCACAAAGGCTTTACCTACAATACTTCTTAAAAATTCAAGCGTTGTGATTAAGGAAAGGTGTTAACCATATTATATGTCCCGTCTAGTATTGTATCCTTGTGCGCCAAGCTCATGTAACAGGAGTAATTAGCAAATAGGAGGTCTTGTTGTTTATTTCTCTTTATCTCTCTATTTCTCCTGTAAAATCTCTCTCGGTTAGCTTTGGCTGCCGCCTCCTGTAACCAACGAGAGATGGGTCTCTCCGATGCAATATAAACCAACGCGGCCCTCTGTTTGAGGGTAGAGACACTTACACGCCTGACACTGTCGCCATGCAGGTTTCAACTAACTAACGGCGTGGACCCTTTGCCGAGCTCTCCGCAAAGTTGCTTGCACATCCAAGTTTGGTAAGCTAGCTCCTATCTTATTTTCTTTGCTTTCTTATAAGCAACTCCCTCCGTCTCATAATATAAAACATTTTTTGACACTAGTCTAATGTTAAAAAACGTCTTATATTACGGCGTGTAGTGTACTTGTGTAAGGTTGTCCGTGTTAGGCTGGGAATTAGTACCGAAGTTTGGTAAGATAGCTAGCTAAGTGTACGTGTCCGTGTTAGGATCCTTCTTCTATTTTTGTATCTTTGCTTTTATTTCTTCTTCTATTTTCTTTTTTCCTCCTTCTATTTTCCTTGATTTCTTCTTTTATTTATTTTTGTGTTCACGGGCACTGATCGGACAAAAAATCGATTCCATAACCACAAATATTTTTTCAAATTATCAAATCCATATTGTTACATGCAATGCAAAACCTACTCTAAGCGGAGCTCGTCCGGCTCCGCCGTGCCCATGTCCAGCGTCGGGTTGCGCCCCTCAAAGTGTTGGTCCGGTCACCAGTGAGATAGAGCGTATGACATGGGACACAGACCGGCTCACGGGACTCAAGGCACCGCCGTCTCCCATGGCCTACTCTTCCTTGTCAGAGTCCGGAACCTTCATGGTGCCGGTGGATGTGAGATCGATGATGGATCCGTCTTGAGAGGAGCCAACGACGTCCACCATAATGCGGTTGCGGCACTCTAGCTGGCCGTGCACCACACGGGGCGCCAAAGAATGGGACTCCACCTCGCCAACATCCACTGCCGCAAGGACTGCTGTCGCCTTCCAGACCCGCTTCCTCGTACAGCCGGCATGCTACGCCATATTTGCGTCGGCCGACAACCATGCGCTCACCTCCGTCTCGGCGCAACATTGAAGTGGTTGCGCATCTGCCGGCACGTTCGGACGCGAGACGGACCTCATCGCCTTCGTTGAGGCAGCAGTGACACACCTCACGCTGGATCCATGCGCCGTTTGGGCGAACGCAATGGGTTCCTGACAGAAGGAGTCTGAGAGTTGCCTCGGGCGGCCTCCTCCCAGGAGCAGCGAAGCGCAAGGCAGATGGTCCTCTCCTCCTCGGGGCCTCGTGGGATGAGCTCGGAGTCAACGAATCTGGAGGTGTAGGATTCGGACCGCTGCCTGCCATGCCTTAGAGGGTAGGAGATCGCCGGACAGGAGCTTGGGTAGTGGGAGTGGACTAGAGGCAAGGGGAGTGGAGTGGAATAATGCGGCTAGGGTTTCAGCCGGAGTGCGGATAGGGTCCCATATCCGCCCCAGATTTGGGCTGGATATGGGGAGTGCCGGCCAGTCCAGGCGTTTGGGACGGAAATGGGGCGCCAGTTGGGTGATGTTTTTTCATCCGAGCGTTTGGGTCGTGTATGGTGGGTCCGGTTGTATATGCTCTTACGAGACGGAATGAACCAAGTTTGCATGTGAAGTAACCACCTCTTCATCCGTTGGCCTTGAAAAATATTCTACACCTTGAGATACGCCATCCCTGGCAAAATTTGGCATCTTTCAGCGTGTATCTCCTATATTTAAGTCATTAAGTGCATTTCTAGTCATCTAAAGGACATAAATCAAATTAAATAGTGGTACATGAAACCGTCATCACAAATGGGTTGAAAAATCATATTTGTATTCTTGAGTCCATGTTGACGCCTTATCCAAGAAAAGGAATGAAACTTCAAACAGGAGGGTGCAAAGACTCGATTCTGAACATGGAATTTGGTGGTTTTTTATTTTGACAAACTCAAGCGAAGTTTGAAAAACATGAAACTTGGTATGGTGCCATCATATGAAACCTACGGGCAGTGATCAAAATTTGAGGCGTCTGAATAGTTATCACATAGACTGCTTACAAACCGGATAATCTCCGAGAAAGAAACTAGGTTACGAGACAGGACAAACCAAGTTCGGATGCAAAGTGACCGCCTCTTCATCCGTTGGCCTTGTTTTTTTTGTGTACTCAAGATAGACCATTACATCATCCGTGCTAAAATCTGGCATCTTTTAGTGTGTATTTAATATATTTAAGCCATTAAATGCATTTCTAGTCATTTAATGGACATATATCAAATTTGAACTGCATGTACCTGAAATGGTCACCACAAATGGATTGAAAAATCATATTTGTATTCTTGGGTCCATGTTTATGCCTTATCCAAGAAAAGAAAATGAACTTCAAACATGAGGGTGCAAAGACTCGACTCAGAACGTGGAATTTGGCAGTTTTTAAATTTCGAAAAATCCAAACAAAGTCTGAAAAAGATGAAACTTGGCATGGTGTCCTCATATGACACCTACAAGCTGAGGTTAAAATTTGAGAAAGTTTCACAAACTTTACCACGTAAACTCCTTATAAACTGGACCTACTCCGAGGAAGAAACTAGGTTTTAAGATAGAACAGGTCAGCGTTGCATGCGAAGTGTCAGAGTGCTTGCTCGGATGCCC